GGGGCGCCTGGGTGGCTCAGTCGGTTAAGCGACTGCCTTCGGCTCAGGTCATGATTCTGGAGTCCCGGGATCGAGTCCCGCATCGGGCTCCCTGCTCAGCAGGGAGTCTGCTTCTCCCTCTGACCCTCCTCCCTCTCGTGCTCTCTGTCTCTCATTCTCTCTCGCAAATAAATAAATAAAATCTTTAAAAAAAAAAAAAAGTCTCCACGAGTCTTGGACACTACTTTCCAGAATGTTCCAAAAGAGAAACTGAAGGGACTGAGGTTTTTTCCCAAAGCTTTCTCCTCCCCAGCCATCTTTTGGGAACACAGTAAACTTGGTGTGTGCTACTGGAATAAACATAGGCAAAGCACCCATTGCTTTAATCTCTCAGAGCATCTGAAGTGATGACTGTTAGGAGAAGAGGCTGCAGCAGCTCCTTCTGGGCTCAGAGCTCCCCCTGCCCGTGGGCAGCCACAGGTTCTTTTTGTGCCCCGAGCAAGCATCTGTGTTTTAGCAGCCTTACCCCTCCCCGATGGTGAGTGAGTTCTTGGGACTCGCTGCCTGTGGCTGCTCACCTGGGGTCCTGGCATTTTATTAAACACCACGTTGACCTACTGACCATAAAGGAATGCGGGGTGCTTGGTCAACCCCTCAGACTGGTGCCTGTTCAGTGGGGGGCAGGGGGAATTGTGGACACTGCTGTCTTTTTTTTTTTTTTTAAGATTTATTCAGGGTCAGCTCAGTTGGTTAAGCGTCCGACTCTTGTTTTGACTCAGGTCATGATCTCAGGGTCCCAGGATAGAGCCCCATATCGGGCTTTGCAGTCCGTGTGGAGTCTGCTTGAGATTTTCTCTCTCTCTGCCTTGCCTCTCTTCTCACACACACAACGTTTTCTTTCTCTTTCTAAAAAATAGATAATTAAATAAAGGCTTTAAAAAAAAAAAGACATTTTTTTTGAGAAAGGTTTATTTATTTACTTTAAAGGGAAAGAGGGTGTGGGCAAGGGGGTGGGGCACAGAGAATCTCAAGCAGACTCCACGCTAAGCCCAAAGCTTGAGTTGGGGCTCGATCTCATGAGATCATGACCTGAGCCGAAACCAAGAGTTGGATGCTTAACCGACTGAGCCACCCAGGCGCCCCTGGTATGTCTTAGTCGGAAAAAGAAAGCAGACTTATGGGTGCAGCCTCAGGTGTGGGGCAGCTCTCAGGGAGCCGCATTGCTGTCATTGACCCTGACTTCCCTGCCTGGGTTGCCAGGGAGCTTTTAAATGCAGATGCCTGGGCCTCACTCTGGCACCTTCTGTCCGATGTATTTGGCCTGAGTGATTCTAACCTGTAGCTGAGCCTGAGAATCAGGTGGAAGGATTTTCAGGATTGCTGATTCCCAGGGCCCGCCCTGGAAGTTCTGATTCTGTGGGTTTGAAGAAGCCAGGACTGTGCATTTGCATGACCTTTGTCAAGATGGTAATTTCTTGTCGAGATGGTATCAGCTCGGGAATGGTGTTCCACATGGGGCACCCCCTGCTGCCTACTCAGTGCTTCCCCCTTCACCCCAAGAGAGAGTACTTCTCCCTGTGGGAGTTTTGGAAGGGGCCTTCCACTCTGCTTGAGGGAGGGTCCGGCTGGCCTTGCCCTGCACTTCCCTGTGTCCGTCCGTTCTGCCTGCTGGGCCTTCCTGAGTGTTTGGAGGTACAGGTGGCTCCTGGGCTCTGGGCCCCTCAGACATCAGTTCACACTAGTAAGGATTGTTGGGGACCAAGGGAGGGCCTCCCTGTGCAGCACGGGGCTGGTCCTGGGGCAGGCACAGCTGGCAAGAACCCCTCAACCCTGGCTTCCATTGTCAGTTTCTGGGCAGAGCCTCTGTCAAGATACTGCTTTTACAGATGGACATTGGTAAGAGAAGGGAAATGGAACCCTACAGCGTCTCAGGCTGCGTCCCCATCAGGGCCGTGTGGCCACACTGCTGGTTTTCTGTTGCAGGGACTGTTTCAGGGCCTTCTACATCCACAAGTTCAGAGCCGTGCTTGGGAAGAATCGGTTGATCTTTCCGGGTGAGAAGGTAGTGTGTTGGGGTGACTCTTCTGCGGGGTCCCCAGCTGGGAAGCTCAGCCCCCCTGGGCCCTGGCTCTCAGCCCCTGCCTCCCCTCCCAGTGTCATGCACAGGTGATGGTGGTGGTGGAGAGGGTGGGCTTGCTCATGGGGGAGACGCAGCGCTCTCCAGTGACGATCCTTCTCCCATAGGTGCTCCTGGCATGGTCTGGGGGGCCTTCATCCAGCTCCATGGTCTGGCAGGTCCTTGAGGTACGTCCCCTAGCGTCTTCCTGGGTCCTGGCTGCTTCCCTACTGAGTTGCAGAGTTGGGGGCCCAGGACTGAGGGGCTCTTGCCTGCAGCTAGCGAGAGCAGCCCACCCCTAGCTGGGATGCCCGGAGGGTTGTTGGATGTGTATACAGAGGTGCACAAACTGGAAGCTGAGTCCGGAGCACCCAGCTGTGCCCAAGTGTAGGACTGTTTGCCGACTGCGTAGAATCCTAGTCACAGGGAACATGTGGTGGCATGGTGGGGCGTTGCTTGAGGTGTTCCTGAGTTCATGGGCCTCCCCCTGGTCCTAGGTCCAGGACAAAACCTTGAAATACGAGCAGGTGCCTTGGGGAACCCAAAAGGGGTCCAGCCTGGCTGGGGTCGGGTAGCTTCCTTGAGAAGTTTAAGGGGAGACCCAAATGAGCAGTGGGGATGCCAGGGGATGTGAAGTTGGGTGGGGAGGGAGAGCGTACGGGAGAGGGTGCTCTCTGGGGACCTGTGCTCCAGGCTCTCGGCAGCCCACTCACACTGTTGTCCAGCGTGTTGGAGATGGCTAGGGCTTTTCCTGAGGGCCCTGGCTGCCGTGGAGGCCTTGACCTGGGGCTGGGACATACACAGACTCTCTGCATTCCCAGTGAGGGGCACAGATGAGAGAGGTGGTCTGTCCCGGGGGCTCCAGCAAGGTGCTGTTCTGCTCTCACTTCATGGCTCCCTAAGCCTGGCCTGGTGTAAGTGCCCACTCCGTTGGCCTTTTGTCCGGCA